TTTTTTTTTTTTTTAACTTCAGTATTCAAATATCCAGACAGACTTTCCTGCATATTCTCATTAGTGTTAAAACTAAATAAATGTGAGCTGACGCTGTTGTCCATCACCAGTCTGGAGTGATTGAATTGATGGACAGCACGTACACAAACTGTTAAAGCCTCATCGATCGTCTGTCAGAGATGACTTTTCCGAACCATAAAACAGACTTTAGCAGTCAGGGTTTGGCAAAAAAAAAGAAAAGAACCTTTGAGCATCACAGAATTTTAATTTGAATAGTTCAACAGCGATTCTGTTTAACAAAACAGGTTATGGTGCAGTTCCTGAAATAGCTGTGCACGGTTCCCCCTCAACGAAACCTGCCGAGCGGAGACGCACACACACACTCACTCCACGCCATCAGATTAGACTGAACCAAGTTTCCTGTTTTCTATTTGAGGAAGTGGCATTGTAAACGTTTGCGGGCAGTTCCTCTTTCAGGACACATTTAAACGGTCTTCCGCACTGCTTTCTTGTTCATTTGCGAAGGGAAGGAGGCCTAGAAGCTGCAGGCAGGCAGGTGTGTGGATTTGTCATCTCGTACCACAGAGCGCTTCTTCAGCTTGTGTCTCCGGCGGACGTTTGAGGATTTCTGGACAGTCATTTCACGTACACTATCTTTTACTTTAGTATTACTTTTATTAGCGTTATGTGGTCAGAGTTGAGCCGCACTGGGGGAAGCCATTCATATGGCCGTGACTCGTTTTCTCAGATGTCTTCGCCCCTGGACTTGGTCAAAGCTCCTCAGCAGATTAAAGCGACTCTGAGGCGTTTAGAACAAGTTCAGGGTCCTGGGCAGAACACGGCAAGAATATTATTGAGTGCGAGTGCGTGTGTGTGTGTGCGTGTGAGATGAAATGTCAGCCAAGTTGTGTTTTTTCTGTCTCTGCAGAAGACATGTCACATCTATTGTCTATTCTATTTTTACCCTGGGCCTTATGTCATGTGAGAGATAGACTAATGCACACTTTCACATCATCAATAAAAGTAGCAATGAATGTTTCTTTAATTGAATTCCTGTCAGAAGTTAGATTTGGAAATTATCATTACCCAAAATGTCATTTAAAGGTTGATTATATACACGGACACTGTATACCCACAAGAATCATGGGCATCATTGGTCACCTTTTGTGCATCAAACTTCAAAAACATTTGATCTACTATGAAACTCGTTTAGTTTACTTTTCGTGTTGGATCACATCTCTCTCTCTCTCACACACACACACACACGCACACGCACACGCACACGCAGTATTTATCAAAAAAAGAAAAGAAAAAAAAGAAATCAAGGCACATTGCTGCCATTAAATCCAGAAACTCTGCCAACATTACACCAAAACGTCCGACGCCGTGCTGTATTTCCTGTTAAGTGCTGTATAATATACACACGGCAACCGTAAAATGACATCACGTCATGCAATGCAGAGCTCTTTTGGCTCAAGCGTTATCATTAGCATTCTCATCTAACCGAAGCTGAGCGCGACCGTTTGAAATGTCACGCTTCATGAAGCAAGCAGCCTCAGCTGTGACTGAAACTGCTACTGAGAGTTTAGGTTCAGGTGTGAAGCCACTGACCGTACATGTGTCTGGCAGTTCCAGGAATGTCTTCACACTTCCAATGTAAGCTGTATGTGCACTAATGCACTTTGCTACATTCAACCAGTTGCTTATGTACATCCAAGCGTTTGCCACTTTAAATCTGCATGGAGGAAAATAAATAAAAAGATGACAGACATTTACTCACCCAAGATGAATTGTTTTATTTGCCAAATCCTGCAGCGTACCGAGAGGCTGCACACCATACATTGTGTTATTTATGTTGTTAGGTTGTAGGAAGCATATACAGTATTAGTGAAGTGAAACAGTTTGTATTGTTTGTACAGTGCCACTATGTAACAACAGTGGAATAAAGCAGAATTTGAGTTGCTTCATATGTCACATGCAGGGAATATAACCAATCTCTTGTCATGTTTATCAGCAAAACAAACAGGACCAACAGGTTCTTGGTCATCGGTGTGTGTGTGTGTGTGTGTGCAGGAATGCGAGTGAGAGTGTGTGTTGCCTCAGTCGTCGACAGCGATGTTGCGGAACAGATAGGCCATGGACTCTCCGTTGTGGGTCCGCCGGATGGCCTCAGCCAGGATCATACTGACATCCACCGTTTTGATTTTTGGACACTGAAGCTTCTGCACCTCATGAGGTACAGTGTTGGTCACCACCACCTGGAGGCGCAATACAACAGCCTTAGTGCATTGGTGTCAGCCTCTTTTGTTTTAAATGGCAAGGGGGACTTTGCTGCCCTGAGTCTAGGTTCTCAGGATGCACTACAACTCTCACGCTAGAAGAGACCAGACCAACTATGGGGCACTTTCTGAACTTGACTTTCTATAATTTTACAACTCAAACAACTCTAAGCATGAGCATTTGATTAGTTGGGCTGCTTGAGGCGGTACGTAGTCTGGGAATAATGGTTGCATTACAAACACATGGAAATGATATTATCACATAACTCTGCATACAAACAAACCCCCAACTATGTTATTTATTGAATGTTGAAACCTCACTCATGAAAGCAAACCTTGAAGACGCCTACATCTACACTTCCGCACACAGAGGACTGAGGAGAGGAGCCGCCAAGCGCAGACAGAGGCGTGTGTGTGTGTGTGTGTGTGTGTGTGTGTGTGTGTGTGCGCGCATCGTCCACACGAGGCATAAAAACAGCACTCGTGGACTCATCATGACACATGTTGTTATAGTTGTCATATTCGTTAAGCCTCCGCAAACCATCATGTTGCAGTTATCATCCATGCCTGTCGAAAATGTCATCACTTCATAATTTTATCCTCTCAGTCATGCGTGTGTGAAATTGTCATAATTAGCATGTGAATTCATACTTGAGTCCAAGTGAATTTGTGCCAAATTTGAAGAAATTCCATTTAGGCGTTCCTGAAAATGGATCGGATGGACGGACAATCCGAAAACATAATGCCTCAGGCCGTGGTTCTAGCCGGCGTGGAAGCTTAAAAAAAACATTGTGGGGGGGGGAAGCCTCCGAGTGCGTGACAGAGGATTTTGTGTTTTCCTACATAAATCAACATTTCCACCCAAAATTGATGCATAACGATTTACAAGAATGTAAATGACAGTGTTGTCATCAAAATATCCATCTATGTAGGCGTATTTTACAATCTGAATACGGCGCCTTTTAAAAATAGCAGGAAAATACGTCGCCATCGACTTTAGAGCCGTTTTTTGTTTGCGCCTGACCACTCATTTTAAGACCAACGCGCCCAATTACATTTGCTTAGATAGGGCTCTTTAAGTTCAAGTCTGTCTGTCATCAGGTTTGTATTATGAGTGATGGTTTCTTTTCTTTAGCTTCAAAACTCCGAGACATTTATCGAGGCACTAGATAACCATGAAGACTATAAAAAGTCTTATAAATAAAGCCTAAATAAATATGGAGGGATACATCACAAAACCGTGACCATGCTTTGTTTCAGGAAGATCAATCGATATATACGCAAACTACTGGAAAGTATTTACGCCGTGATTGTTTTTCGTTCTTTGAAGAGGATGGCAAAATGCGAATCCACAGTATGTATTTGTACTAGAGTGCTGGGATTGGACTACATTGACTATACAAAACTACTTAATTAGATCACTTTACTGAATGTAGATATAAGTCTACCTTTTGACACACATTTCCATGATTTTTTAACTCCAGTGACGAGCTCATTACTTTACCTCATCGATGGCGGACTCCTCTATTATTCTTGGTGCATCTGCAGACAGCAGGCCGTGTGTGGCCATGATGTAGATCTTGTAGGCTCCTCTCTCCTTCAGGGTTTCGGCTGCTGCAACAAAGTCCTCCACATCATCTATGATGTCATCCTGAGAAAGTGGCCACGGGGTTGGGCATCAAAGAAAAAAGAAAAATACATATATTTGGATTGCTGGAGGATCTGACATTTCTGAGAAGACTTTTTTTTTTTTGGGGAGGTGGCATGACTAACGAACGACTAACTAATGAATCTGATTACAGAAATACCGCATTCATGAGAAACATCAGCAATGAACTCACGGAACTCCACAAGAACTAACAAACGCCACATGGCAAATAATTTTTCACACAAACTTGCACAATAAACAACCCCCCCCCCCCCCCTTACAGTATGACATTGGATTTCCCCAAAATTAAAGCAATTCCAACTCTTAAATTAAAATGTTCCATTCCTCAAAAAGAGGCATGAATTACTAGTAGCTTCAATAGTTTTAAGTAAGTCACATTAAAGTTTGCGTTCTTACAACAATGATGGCGATTCTGCCTCCTACGTCTCCAACGACAGTGATTGGCGGCTTCTCCTTTGCCATCATCACTGAAAGACAGATGAGATGAAAGAACATTTACTTTCCGAAAAAGATGAGAGGGGGGGGGGGGGGGGGGTCTGTCCACCAACCCAATTCAGGAATGGATTCTTGGTGAGAAGGGATTTGATTCAAAACCTGCAAACGTCATGCGAGACCACTCTACCCCCGCAAGCTTCCATGTACCACGGCACCGATCCAATAACTGCTGAGACCTAATCAGACTTGAGACTTGGTTTCTATGGTGCAACTGCATGTGGATGCTTTTGATTTAGCAGGAAATGGGCAAGTGGGTGTAGAGCACAGCCTCTTTTAGGAACCACAGACCAGGATCGATTGTTATTTGTAATAATAATCTAATCAAATACCATTTGTTTTTTACAGATTACAATATTGACGTTAAGAGCATAATTGATCTTGGAGCTTATCCAACCCCCTCAAATTGAATTCTCTCAACCCCGACAGACATATTAAAATATCGTGAGTACTTTCTTAGGATTTCAAGTAATAATCGATCCAGGACTAGAACCCACCACATCTGAATTAAAGGGTCCCAACGGGGCCCTGACCATGCCAGAAACCTTCTTCCAAACAGCAAGGCATGTTCAGGGCTCACTTCCCAAATCCACCACAACACCACCCAGCCAGGCATCTGTGCAAAAACTAAAAATCAAAACTTTCCAAATGGTTACAGGTTTGAAAGGGAAGCCAAGAAACTAGAATCAAGCCGTTTCTGAGCCCTCGACTCAAAGCGGATCAAGCAGAAAGATGCCAAAGCTTCCAACAAGTATCCTCACCACTAAAAACTATTTCCATCTCATGATCCAAGTATTCACAAAGTCTGCTCGGCCCACATTACTGTATGTAGGCTGGTTTCATTTCCCAATTCATTTGAATATCTTTGTATAAAGTCCCGTTTGACCCAGATGCAAGTTTAATAAAAAATAAATGTCAACATTCCCCGTGTATTTGTATTGTTGAACAGATCCAAGAAAAAAAATAAAAAATTATGTTTGACCTAAATTCCTTTCAAACCTCAGCAGTACGAGGTATGAAATACCTCACATCAGTAAGGATGACACCAGCTTTGATTTAGCTGCAGGAAGAGGCCAAAAATAAAATGGACTTACACAGTTCTGCTGCACTGGGGAGACATCCATTAATCTCAACTTGCAGTGCAGTAAAATGGTGAGATCCTTGTATACAGTACCTAGATTCTACGCGGTGGTGGGCGGCAGCTTTACCTTTGCTGCACTAATTGGTTTTATAAAAAATGTAATGATGAGGCTAGCACCATGTGCTGGAACTTTTTTTAAATTGCAACAAAGGCAGCAGTGTAATAACTACGACAGCGATAACTAACGGCGTTGGGTGAGAGGACGCTGGACAGGTCGCCAGTCTATGGGTGACTGAAAAATAATGAATGTTGTTTTCACTGCCCAATCCTTCATCGCTGCCTAATCTTTACAGCACAAGTGTTTGTGATTATGTATTCATTACTGAATGTTCCGATGTGAAATGAAGTGAAAGCCCTCAGTAACTCAGTCATTCCATGCAGGGAGGCATCAAAAGGCAGCGCAAATGGATTCAAGCCGTAGCATCATACTTGGGAGCTCTATCCCAGGAAATGGGGCAGGAGGTCTGCTGCCTGCGTTGTGGAGGAGGGGGGGGGGAAGATAGGATGGTAGAGAAAATGTTATTGCACAGTCAGACATACAATGGACAAACCATTACAGAGCACATAAGTGCTATCCAAAACAAACTCTTACAGAGGAGGAGCAGCAGCTGTGTTTAGGGTTAATAAGCCTTGTACCATGAGTTGACCTTGCACGTAATCAATGCATGTGTGAGGCAGAGAGAGAGAGCGAGGGAGAAAGAGAGAAAGAGAGCTGTATGAGTGTGACTCAGCTCAGCTCCTGCTGGGGAAGAGGAAGAGACGGTTGACATAAAAACATTTCCAAGTCGAGGGGGGAGAAAGAGGAGGAGGAGGATGGTGAATTCAGCTGAAAAGAGGAAAGGAAATAAATTCGGAAAAGGAAGAAAGAAACGGGGCAACGTCAGCCACCGTCTGCAGCATTTCACAGCTGGCTCCGACGACACCTGTGGCAGGGCTGACCTGAAACGTGCCGAGAAACACTGTGTGCTCGTGTTACTGCAAGGTCAGCAGGGGCAGTAAGCTGGCGATTTCAGGCAGCCCTGAAACTGGTCCTCACTAAGAGGTATTTCGATTACATAAAAAAAAAAATACATATAAAAAAGAAAAACATCCCAAGGCATATGTGATGTTTAACGAATCCAGGAACTCAACTCTGACGAATGATTTCTGTGGCTACAGACACACGAGCAGCAGATGTCAAGTTGCCTTGGCACCAAACGCTTCTCAGAGTCGGATAAACACACGAGCCTGAAACTCGAGCACTCTAGTCTCCCCGTTGGAAATGTAACTCTCCACATCACCCAACAAAAGAGCAGAACTGGTCAGGAGTTACAGTTTCTCTTTATTTGGCCAAGACGACGGAGGAAGGAAAGGTTCCTGTCTGCAGTGGAAACACTTAATACACTTAACACACATTAACAATGAATAAGATCCCGGCTGACGATGCAGTTCATAGCTGCATGCATGACCCCTTCTATGAATGAAGAAAAACTGTTTGTGACTGACCAGAAAACATCTCGCACCTTGCACTCATCAGTGAACTGTTGGTGAAAGTAAATGATGAGCGATTGGCAGTTCTCCCCGTCACAAAGATGAGAGGAAACAAACACCCACGGCACAGTCTTGGTCTTTTCACGCGACACCGGGCCAAGAAGAGCAGGTTCGGAGGAATGTGTACCAAAAAAAAAGCAACTTTGTTTCCATACAGCCAGTAATACAGAATCAGTCATGAAGCCGTGCTGGGTGTCTTACATGGCAGCTCCAGGCCGGTGTGTCCTTGGGTGGTGCGGGACGGGGGGGGAGAGAAGGGGGGTGAGTTTCGGCCGTCGACCATGTCCAGCTCTGAATGATGGGCCTCCCCGTGCATCACTGCCAGCCCGAGTCGCAGCCTCTCAGCGTAGGACTGGGCTCTGAGACGGACGGAGACACGAAAGAGTCAAAGAAAATGACAAACAAACCAACGAATACGCGGGCAAAAAAAAAAAGAAAGAAGAGCGGGACGTTTGCACGGAAGCTTTAACACACCTACAAAAGACGAAGTGGTGATATGTAAAGACAAAAGCACGATCCTAATGTGACGCTAAAGAAAGGAACTCTATGCTGTGACAGCAGGAGGAGAGATGCCCTGAGAATGGAACTTGAGGCTTTCTTGTTACCTCTTGGCAGCTGAAGGAGACTTTGCAACAATTATTGCATTCCTGTAGTCTGGGATCTGAGAAAAAAAGAAAAACAGAATAAAATATTACAATACATTGGTTCCAAAACCCATTCGTTGATGTCCAGCTGGACACTATCACTGTTGTGACTCTGTGCTTGTGTCCAGGGTCACTCAACCTCACCTCCTCCTGGATGTACTGGATGAGGAAGGGGGAAGCCCTCAGGTTGTCAACCGGGAAGCTGAAGAAGCCCTGGATTTCTTTCTGGTGCAGGTCCATGGTGATGATGTGAGTTAGCCCTGAAACACCAAAGACATACGTGCATCGTCAGTAGGGGAATTGCAATATTGCCCAAACCCACCTTGCACACTGTCTGATGAGTGCACGGCTCTAAGTGGCTCTGTTATGTGCAGCTCAATCTTGGGACAGACCTGAAGACTAGCTGAAAACCTACAGAGACTGGAAAAAAACACGCAGAGAGATTGTTCCCACCGCCACACGCACATATTATCTCGTCTTTGACAGTCGGGAAGGAGCATACAACTTACGTCTCTGTAAATAGCTACATAACAAAACACAGTCCATACCGGCTTTAGCTAACATGGATGCTAGCAGCTTGCAGACAATGGATCCTCTCTTCTTCATCTTGCACTGCTTGCTGTAAGGAAAGTAGGGAATGACCCCGATGATGTTCTTGGCACAGGACGTCTTCAGGGCGTAGGCCATAACCAGCAGCTCCATGATGGCCGTGTTGACATCTCTGAGAAAACACATTGAATTTAAGAGATTAGATTCGATTTCACAACTCGCAAAATCATCATGCCGGTGCGCGATTAGTCTGAGGCGCCAGTCGACAACAAAGTCGATCCAAAAACGGGTATAGATGGAGATGTTGATGAGCTGGTGGGGGATTGAAGAGTCAGCGGCTTAACGTTTGTAACATGGCCGCCATCCAATAAACCGCTGTCAATAAAGTCAACGCTGTATGACGTTATGTAACCTGTTTTTATTCCCATCGTTATCACACGCCCTGTTATTAGACTCCAACTTAAGCGGCCTTTCTTCTGAGCCCTAAGCCAAAAATAACCTTGAACGTTACTGGCTGCTGTTATATGATTTAGGTTGGGACAAAATAAACACAGCCAGAACTGCATAGACAAACATGGCCGAATTATAAAGTTCTTTTCAGGAAAAAAAAGCCCTCGCTAACGGGACACTTTTTAAATCTATCTGTGTTGAGATTGTGACAGAGTACCCTGATGTCTGTTATGTTGATATCGAGGACAGTTTCACTTCTTCAGAGAGGTGAAGAGCTGCTGGTGTAACAGGAGGCCGTGTGTAGCCGTGTGGAGCCGCGTTGGCCTCGGCAGCTTTGCTGAAACCAGAGATCTCACAATGCGATGTCCCCTCATGTGGCCTCTGGTTACCTTTCAGATAACTGATTAACAAGAACACACAGAGGGCTCAACTGGCAGGAGCGAAAGGGTCACAGTAAGTGCGGCTTTTACCGTTTCACGTGCTGCAAAGGTAATCTTCATTTGGACTTGAACCTACAAACGGATGCTGTAAGATTCTTGAATGTAAAACAATAAAAAGATACATTTACCAGAGTCACGCGAGTACATGAAGTAGAAATGTTTTGCACGGTAATGACAAGTATACTGGCATAGCTACCGAGCGTGTAATGGCAGAGATATATTTTTCAAACACTATTTTGTCGCGGCCGCTTAGTCATGTGAATACAATCATCAAGTTAATACTTAAACCCTTATCAAAAACGTAATGTTATTTGTCATCCATTTATGCTTTAACCATGTAAAACAGATTTAGGTAATACACATGTGACTGCCATTAGGGAATGGTGTTTTCATATGTAAATAAAGTGTGGTAATTAGGAAAATAAAGACATTAAAAGCTGCTTTTGTCGGCTACTTGGTGACAGATGCAGACGTCGTCCTAGTTAACAAATATCTGGGTCTGTAGCTTTCTAGATGTTCAGTTTTCCTCGCCGTTAAGTTGATAACTTTGTCAGTCTGTAATTTCATGCCAGGCCAATCTTTGTGCTGAACAGCTGCTGGAACCGAGGCTGATGAGAGCTTAGCTGAGGGTTCATTACATGAACACATAGTGATAGGATTGTTTGTTGATATATTAAGGCATCAAGAGCGTCCTGTCTCACCTGGGAATGGTCTGAATGATGAAGATGTCTTGTCCACGGACAGACTCTTTCACGTCCACTCGAGTCTCTGAAACCAAAAATAAAAAACGTCTTAGAAGGTATATTGCCAGGTATATTGAGCTGAAATGTCATTTTATTTACATGTATGACCAGTCTGCAGCAAGCTGTCTCCGTGTTCCCGGAGTTTGTGACCACAAGGTGGGCTGTGAGAAACCCTGAAATCATTCTGTTTGTTACCAGATGTGCTACGTATATGCTGTCCTGTGAATAAACGGCTGGTTGGAGCCAAAAAAGACAAAGTGTACCTGAATCAAAACACAACGCAAAGAGAGAGTACACAACTGCTACAGCATACATTGTGTGGAAACAAGGGGGATGAGGGTATTTTTCGGCCTTACCTCCATTTGGCTCTTGATAAACCAACGACTTGCCCAACTCCACACCCAAGCGTCTGCAAAACAACAAACAGGCTACAGAGTGTTAGACACGAACCTCAACGTGTCCCATTCATTGAAGTGTGTAAATGTTCTAAACTAGTACTAACCTACTTGTTCTTATTATTGTGACCAGCAGCTTATTGGACTAACCAAACCACAAAAAGACAGAATATTGGCAGACTTATGAATAATTTAAATAATTGTTGGATCACTTTTCAAACTGTGCTAGCTATGACATGCAAACTTCACATGCCACAACTTCTCAAACGCATCCCCCTGTTGCCGTGCGGGTAATTTATTCGTAGGAGTGATTTGGGGGAGATGTGGCAGCCATAAAGGACTCCTAGAGATTTAAGTCGTGTCAATGTAATACGACTATAAATCTCTTACCGGCTTCAAAGATGAGAAAACATCCACATAAAGCCCTTGGCACCGACAAAGACTGAGTTGATATTGACTTTCAGTGCTGAACAAGTCAAACTCTGAACAAGCCCAGACACCATGAACACAGCTGAGCCTCAGGCGTGTTTCATCTCAAAACCAAACCAAGTCACTATGTAGAATGAACTCGATGGCACTCTAAAAGCACGCCGCAGATAGGAGTGGGGCATGGCTTGGTGACAGCCGGGATCCTGCTAGGTGAGACCAGTTTATACCCCTCAACCTGATTCCAATTTTTCATATAACACCTTTCATTTAGGATGACTACGGGGCAATTCATCAGACACAAAAACAACAGTCAAAGAATATTTCCTTGAAGTGTTTTTGTAGAGTTCTATTCTGCAAGGACTTTACATGGTCTTGAAAATAAGGACGACTTAAGTTCGGGGGTGGGGGGGGTATTTACACACAGCCGTGTCCCCACATGCACCTCAGAGTGACTATTCAGTGTAATGTTCAATAACATTTTCTGTGTGTACACATTGTTATGTAACCTTTTGCTCCGCAAGAAAAACTCCACTCTGCTCTCCCGGATGGCAACATGATCTCCCGAATAATGTTCCGCATTGTTGTCAAACGGTGAAAAGTGAGAAAGAGCTGTGAGCTATTTCTCTCTGTGCGAGCAATGCAACCTCTGCTTGGCTGTCAGACAAGAGTCTGCGAGGAGGGGGGGAGAACATGGCTGCTCCCTGATTTCAGTAGGCCAACAAGAGAACAAGGACAAGAGAAGATATTGGTGTTTCCAAAGACCCGGGTCGGGGTTCTTCTTTAGGAATACAAACAGATACGCCCTTTTCAAAGCAGCCATTGCGGCATGTCATAGCAGGGTAAACACAGGTGTAATTGATCAAATTAATTATGGTTCCGATCTTTTCGGTGTGTCAACAGCCATTGCACAATAGCAGGGCCCTGGCCCACGTACATGAAACGGGGCCATAATTAAAAACAGTGTTTGCCCTGCAGTGACATGTTGTTTTTACTTTCATATCATTCAGATGGATCTTTCCTGGTTTCACTGGTTTAAAAAGGCCACACGAGTAATTGCCTCTTAAAAAGATGCCTGGCTGCCACAGCAAACATCCTGCGTACATTATCCATGACCTGCTTCCTCCCTCGACAGCGCAGTATCTGCACAGTGTGTTCCTTTCATCATAATGATTCTCATTGACAGGTCTTTCCAATTTCCCACACCAACACCCAGAAGAAGAAAAAAAACACCACATTGGACACAATCTGAGAGGAGAAATCTTTCATCTTCACTATATAGCGCATTCATGGAAGGAAATGTGTAAATTCAGATTATTGTCACGCTGGGAAAGGCCACTGAAACAGCAATTAGGCCATCAAAGCACACCGACTTTTAAAAAGAGGTTTCACAGCAAGTTTTTACATCATGTGAAAATTATGGAAAAACTCATCAGAAATGAAGTATTGATGCTGAAAGGTGTTTTTAAGGGTTGCACAGTTGTTGTTGCAAGTGACAAGAGTAAAGTGTGATGCATGTGAGGGATTGGACAAAGACATGGAGATAAGCCAACCGATTTTGCGATATGACAACACAAGCACCCATGTAGGAATGAGTTGTCTTGCAATGCAAAATTGTTCTTCCCTTAGTACAGACTAATTATTTTACTGCTGCTATTACCGCTAGTTCAGACTTAAGACCTACCCTTCGATTTCCACACTATGTACAGTGTGTGTGTGTGTGTGTGTGTGTGTAGCCCACTTAAACAGCATTCAATTCAAAACAATACACACCCACTGGCCTCAGGTCACCAGCAGCCATGACTCCCAGGTGTACTGTCAGGGACATGGCAGGTAACACATAGACAGGCCATTCCTCAACATTAGCAGAGACATGAAGTGGCATCAATCGTGATGGTATCGCGAAGTCTAAACTCACTTACTCTGTGATCTTCTTGGCCAGCTCGGTGCAGACGGTGGTGGAGTTGGCGGAAAAAACTCGGTAGCCACTTTTTGAGACGTTCATTTTCGCGAAACCGTACGACAGCTTTGGGGAGTGAGAGACCAGAGACCTGTAACCCCCAAAACGCCTAATAGGCATGTTGTTTCAAGAAACCAATGTGGTGTTTGGTTACGTCCCCCCACCAAAAGAAACCCGTCCGTTAGAGCTGTTTCCACGCTGAAATATAAACTATGGGTGGTTTAGGCGCATGTTTCTGTAAGAAAATACAAGCCTCGCTGAAGCGGTGTAACGCCACACTGTATATAAACTAAAGCAAGAGAGCGCACATGCTCCACATGCAACGCTGGTCACATCTACCAGCACCACAAAACCCCCGTTCTACCAGTAAATCGACATCAGATGGAAAGCTGGGCGCTATTTCCATGCGGGTCTCTGACTCTTCCCCGTCTCCAGAACACAAACACCGGCTCGTGTTAGCATGAAGACGAGCTGAAATGGACCAAAAACAAAACGGTCTCGGGCGCTGCTACAGTGTAATAACTTCAAAACTCCGCTGCTAGCATTCAAATGTGGCGACTGTAAACTTTGTAGCAATGCGGTCGCAGCAAGGGCGAAAACGCCACGAGCACACGTTCATTGGGTGGATAAACCGAGGGAGGGACTTAAAACTGAACCAATCAGATATCAGATCGAAACAATAGTGGGCGTGTGAGATATATATTTGACCAATCAGTACGAGCGATTTGTTATGACCTCGAATTAATGCGCAGTGACCGAAAAAAAAGTGGTGGGTGGTTTTGGAAATGTTGTGTAGTCCTAAATATACCAACTGTCAGCTGTAGTTAGTTAAAGCAGTTAGACAATCCCTGGGTTTAGGGACTACAGTGGCTACAGTGGAGAAATAAGTAGGCTGTTCACATGATTAACTGAAGTAAAAGCTGTAATAACGCAGTGTAAAATACTGGGTTAATCTTGCATTCAATTTTTACTTTATTTATCAGCAAGAGAGCTCATTATGCAGGTTTGCACCTTTAGCGTTGTTACATAGGATTTGATATGCGGTAGCTGTCGCATTATTGGTACATTACCAATGAAAAATGAGATGAGAAAGTTGAGGTGTTAGTTTTTGCTACTGTGCTTTTAAGCATCCCATAACCTGATCATCTGTTTTGTATGTGAAATCTGAAGCAGTCCGTAGCTTTCAGATAAATGTCGTGGAGGGAAAAGTACAATTTTTCTTTCTGAAATGTTTTGGAGGAGTGTAAAGTAGCATGGAATGAAATTACTCAAGTATTGTGCATGTGCATAAGTTTTGGTTAAGAGTGAGATAAATGGCTCAATTTCTAACCCACATCTTGCTGTAATGCCAACTGGAATGCTGCGCAACCACAAGTTGTAGCAAGTTCAAGAATGTAGATATTTGATGGATAAGAATGTGTCACACGGTACTTTTATATTTTCATGTCTTTTTTTATTTTCCGTGCTTACATTTTATACAACGTAGGCTATGTTATGTGGACTTGAAGAAAAATAGCATTTTTTAATGAAAAATATACAGAAGTCCAGTAGCAAGTGTCATCTAATAAAACAATGGAACATGTAATAAAAAGAGCTGCTGTCATGATTGCCATGTTTATGCAACCAATGGCAGTTAACTATACCTGCATGACAAATCAAACTGAGGACATTGGTTAAAAAAAGTTGTTTCTGTATAATCTACAGAATGTGGACAGCCACTAAATGGCTTGTAGTATTTGCAGTACAAAAGTGCCTACTCGTCAATGCACAGTGGATTCACAGTCAGTAAAATATAGTTTTACTTCTACTTTAATAAAAATGTCTTCAAATTGGAAAAAGAAAGTGGCTGAATAAAGCATGTTTAAAGTCATTAACGCGACAGAGTTTTCAAAAGCTTGAGCTGCACCAAAACTTTGCCTTGAACATGCTTGAATAAACAGCTGTTCCTCGATTTCTTTCATACCTGCACCAGAAAAGAATACGGTGTGAACAGGACTCGTGAAAAACAAAGTGATCCTGTCTGCCAGTAATGGCTCGGTGGACCGCCACACCTAAAGACACAGCACCACGCCCCGTTGGTGCATTCCACCTCTTAGGTGACACTCCAGCAGTTGCAGTGCTTTTAAATCCAAGTCAGGGAGTGTCTATTGGGATCTACATGGGTCAGCCATGTGCAGCTGGTTTATGCACATATTGCAGCTTTTAATAAACACTGTCCACAAGTTCATGTCTTTTTATGGTGCTTTGTGCACCAGACACACATAAAGCATATGCCTGCATAAATGTGGACGCCCCCCACTTTACTGCCCTACATGTGTTTGCTTAATTTACAATGGCTTGGCAATGGCCATTGATCTTTTCACTTCCTGTTTCCTTGGTTTCCTTCCCTGTTTAAGCGGTCAACTATTTCCCTCGTGTTTCATGCTTTGACTTCTTTTTGAAGACGGCATTCGATGCAGATCTTCAGCCTTTCAGGACCTTTTCTTTTAGCAGGTCCAAGATGACCTGCCTCTCTTGGCTCTCCAGCTCAAATCTCCGTTCCCTTTCTTTTCTCTCAGCTCCCAGACGTTCCCTCTCCAGAGCGATTTTACCTGTGAATAAAAAAAATGGAAATTAAATCTTTGGTTCAATGGCCCTTGAGGATGATGACAGCATAACATTTTAACGCAAATTTCATGAGCATTTTGTAAAGGATGAAAATAATGTTTTTAGAGCCAGCGTATTAGCGGTTACACCAGGCACATTTTAGTTAAAATTAATGTCATAATTCCTGTGACAAATGCTCGATTATATGCAAAATTCCATGCAATACAAGCAAAATCCACTTTGGAAGATAAAATAACCACATTACAAAGGGTTGAATTCAAAATCACACTACATTACTCTCTGAAAATCTTACTCCTTTGAATCTCCAGCTCCTCCCGACGCAGCGCAAGCTCCTCCTCTCGTAGCCGTTGCTCCGCCTCCGAGCGTTTCTCCAGGAAGCTGAGAATCTCAGAGTAGGTCTGGCAGCAGCACTGGCAGGGCCTTTTGGCTGTGGGCGCCGCTGAAGGCTCTGCCATTTCCTCGTGGCCGTCTTCTGGTTCTGCTGTGACAGTAATTATGTAACAATGTACCATTCTCTGAAAAGAAACAGTCAGCTACAGAGCAACATCCAAGGACAGGGCAACTACTTGCCAACACAGGCGCTTGATCTTGAAATAGAGGTTCAAAGGATTAAGAATATGCTTCACCAAAGTCTGCATCTTGAGTAAGAACACTCACTCCCCTGTTGACTTCTACATTTCAAGCCCACAGCGGGTTAATGTTTCACTTAGGCTTCATCCACACTACTACATTTTTGCTTTAAAACGCATATATTCTGCTACATTTACACCTAGTGTCCACACTATTACGGAGTTTTAAAACCCCAAAAAAAGGCATTATAAAACGCGACCGACTCTGTGTTATTTAAAAAATGTGTGTTTCTGTTGTAGTGTGGAAGCGGAAACCGGGGACCTTTGAAAACGATGCCGTAGACACCCGTGTTCGCTACTTGATTGGGTCTTAGCAGTCAAGACGTGTCCTTCCCTGATTCATCACGTCGCCGGAAGAAAACAAACAACAGCCTTGATTACCGATCGATTACAAGTGGTTGATTCAACATGGATAACCAATGACAGGCGTTGCTGACCTTATGGTCTATATTAGCAGCTGTTGTGCAGTTCAATTTTGCATTTTATAATTCTACTACTGCCTACATGCACAAGAAGCAAGCTGTTATTGGAGCAATTTGCGAGCATCGTGTCCAGCGGCGATATCAGCCCTATGGAGCGGACGTTTGAAATCACGGTTTGCCGCTTTGAGGAGGGCGACAGACACAAAACGGAGGACTTTCCTTCTCTTATCAATGCTTATTTTGTTCTGCACAAGTATTGTGAAGTTCACAAAGAAACTGTAAACAAGCAAAAGCATAAATGCTCTCCAGTGCGACCGAGACTTTAGCCACCAGCAGAGCTACGAGTGTGAAAACAACAACGAAACCAAATGTCTTGACCCATAATCTAATAAACTTGTATGTGTACATTTTTGAAGTCAATTTGATGTGTGTGAGAACGAGATAGATAGAGCAAGACCTGCAAAATTGTAATTAAGTTAGAAAAATCAAAGTTTTTTTTTTACTTCAAATGAAAACGTATTAGTGTGGATGTAGCACAGGTCTGAGCCTAAGTTCACCCGGTGCACATAAAGTGCAGAAAAAATTTCACAACTTAACGCCTCATCCACACACTCTTGTCACAGCGTTGGAAAGCCCATTGCTGTCGCCAGATAATCATCAACACTGATTCTCCAGATGTTGCAATGTGCTGATAGAGGCTGTTTTGAGGGTTTTCAACCATGAAATGCTGATGTTTACAGATTTGCATGGAAATGACAATATTAACACCAGCATTGATGAGTTTCATCACAGTATACGGTCATATATAATTTAGTTTATAGCTTAAAAAACACTTTGTGTAAAGTTACTCTTCGAGCATTCTCAATGGCCTTCATTATGATGCAGTATTTGTGACACCGGTGGCTCACACCCCTAATATAAGCAACATCTTTCACTCCATGAACATCATGTACTGAGTCATATTCCATGATTAAACAAGATGCGATTTGCCTCTCAGCCAGATGAAACGATTGAGAGGGAATTACCTCGGAGGCAACAATGAATAAATGCTCTTTTAACTATTAACTATCAAGTGACTGTCAACTCTCGTCACGCCTCGTGTTCTGAATCAGTTTTTACCTGCAGTGTGTGTTTGTGTCATGGTGATGTTGGGTTTGTCCTGTTCTGGTAGAGTTAGTTCTTCCATGGCTCGCTTTCTCAGTTCATCATCCTAACAAAGATAAGGACAAGATTATATATATATATATATATATATATATATATATATGAGTGTATAAAAAGTAGGCAAATATGGAATCTAAATGATCTTGCTAGTCAGTGGGACAAAGAGGAAGAAAGGAGAAGTGGTCAGGAGTTACAGGGAACCTAAAAATATCTCCTGACTTGGATTTCCAATTTCTCTGGCCAGCCTCAGTTCAAATGAAGTGTTAGAACTGAACAAATGGTGCATCAGCTTCAGGTGTAATGAGATAATGGGCATCCTGACACCTAATAACACATTCTGGAATGAATTTCAAAGTTGTAGATCACAGATGGAAGGTGTATTGTGCAAGGTAAGCTGAAACATATTGTATAATGTATCTCATCTCAGGCAATATAGACTAGACCATTGACAAGGGGCTATTCATCCACTGGTCTACATGTAGGGCTGGCATAAGGAGAACATTAAATCTCACATATATTTTTGACCGAATACCTCGACAACAACGATATTGTGACGATAATGTTTTGTAATTTGAAAAATTGTATTTTTGATAAATAATCATCAATAATGTGATGTCATGAAGTGGACAACGCCAAATAATAGAACAGCGAGAACATTCTGTTGAGTTCAGAAGATGACATCACTATACTGTAATGCAGCCTTTACAGCCAGGAAAAGACGACACTTCTGCCACATGACGATATCCAAAATCTAAGACGATATATACTCTCATATCATGGTACCGATAAAATACCAATATACTTTATTGCCCAGCCCTACACTGGACTATAAAACAGGTGTATATATTCATGCATCCCCAGTTGTGATGACTCATAGACTTTAGTTTAATCTTTGGGCAATAACATGTCTGTAACTCAGAAGTACTGCTGTTGACAAAATAAAGAAATTGCTGCATGAAGCTATGTGATAAGCTGCAACTAATACGCTCAATCTGCCCCTCTAAACCAGCTCAGTGGCACTAAAACTCCCTCTGTTAGGATAAAGTTCTGGCGCTGGTCGTGTCACTTAATTTTACCTCCTCTTCTTTCTCGTAACACGACACCAACCTGGTACTTTGTGTTCTCGCCGCTGGCCAGCAGCCCCTTCTCAGCCTCCAGCTCCAACACCTCGTGGAGCAGATCTTCCTTTTGGGCGTACAGCCTCTCCGTTCCAAATCTGAGCACACCGAGAGCACACACACACACACACACACACATTCGACTTTTAGGTTAATGCCGAGCACATCCGTTAATTTCCTCAGGAAACAACACAGTTTGCTCCTGGTGACTAAACCAACCTGCGCAGACTGGGAAAGTCTTGTTTCCTGTAGTAGTCCAGCAGCAGCATGGTCCTCTCCCTACACCTCCTGGCATCCACCTCAAAGTTTTCATCTTGGAGGGCTGCAGTGATGATCTCCCCCACACGGGCCCAGATCCGTCCTGATGACGATGAATGAGTGCACACACATGGGAATATAATAGGCCGTTGCTTACGAATACACAGGTGTGTGTGTTCAAATGTCTCTTCTCTAAAGCACATCGTGTTTTTTTATTGGTCTCTCTGCTCGTTATGTGATAGATTTCTTCTTGTACGATTGTTGAATGTCTTTACAAAACGGCAGCTCAAAAGGAAGCCTTACTGTTTCAGTAACAAATTGTAAAGTTGCTATTCACGTTTTAGATAGATATAGAGTTATTCCTGGGTTGAATGTCACTGTAGCTCCACTGGACATATTTTGAAGTGTCCACATTTGTCATGCAGGAACTGCAGCTCTCTGCATCTGAACAGTATTTGAGTGTTTTCAGGCGGATTGGCCCTTTAAGAACAGGACTAACCTGGCTCTTTGGAGGCAAAGGGGTTCTGGGCGACAACCTCCCGCAGCAGGATGATGTCATGGCGCGCTGAAAAGCGCACCTGGCGTTTTCGTGGGGTCGTGGAGTGGCCGGCGAGAGAAAAACCTGAAGTTGGAAATAGAATCGAATGATGAATAGGGAATCCATCGTTCACACTGACGGTCTGGATCAGAATCGCTCTGACCTTCTTGAAAAGAAAACTAATAAACGGCAACCCATAATCACATTATTATTGTTAACACAATACCAAAACCATTACAGTTCCTGGAATGAGACTGCAAGTGATAGTAAACTGATCTATGTTAGATGAGCATGGGGTCAGTGGGTTATTGTATGTCTACTCCTGTTATTACCTTGCGCATATATATATATATATATATATATATATATAAACAACATGCTGAAGTGCATTACTTTGTCTCAGCACTTGTAGGTCGCAATGCCAATAAAGTTGAATCTAATGTGATCTAATCTATGCAATGAGGGGGAATAAATGGGGCCTGTGCAAAGTGGAGGCAGCAGTTGCAGAACTGCTGCTTTTGACAGATGGCAGCAGCTCCGTCACTGCTGTGCTCCACTGTGTTGTGCACAAGTGCAAGAAGCCGGCAGCCCGCAGCTCCAAGAACGTACGCACAGAAACGAGCGACAAATGGCCTGTAGATCTCTGGTAGCACCTACAGAGGCTACAGCAGCGCGGTCAATGCCGAACCACGCGTCAGAGGAGGAGGAGGAGGAGGAGCGTGTGCGCGCGACGCGAGAGAAGAACCAAACGCCGTTTAGGAGACGTTAAAATAAGTGGTCGAAAGGGCGCGTTAGACGTGGAGGTGGTAATGTGTCTCACCGTTGTTGATCGGCACTTCCACCACCACCCGTTCCATGTTTCTGTTCGGTGCATCCGGGAACCGCCTGACGCGCGCTGCACACGTCCAGTCACCAGTACCGGTTCCCTCCTGACGTGTAGCTCAACTTGGCGGAGAATCAGAGTCTGGGCAAAACGGAGGCGACTCCCGCTTCATTTGTTGTTGCGCTTTCTCCATGTGACCACAAGATAGAGCCAGAGAACCGCTGTTAAATGAGGACAGAGTTTCTTTATAGATGGCTTAGGGTGTTTAAGCACCCTAAACCAACTAATCCACTAGGATTAGTTACAATTTTTACTTATTTTATATGTACAAATTGAAGAAATGAACACATGTCTAATGTGTGTGTGTATTTGTAAGACAGCTGGGTGAAAAACAGGAAAAAGATCCCTAGGAGCGCCAAAGATCCAGGGAACATTTGCTGCCAGGTGCCAAATCAAGACCATTTTATTTTATGTGGCTTAAAAGTTAAATGTGTGCTTCTCCCGGTATTTCAGAGTTTTGCTTCTCTTCTCAATACCTCCTTTCATCCCCCTTTCTTTTGCCTTTATTTTCACATTTGACCTCCTGATTTCCGGAGCGAATGTGATATTCATAGAAACAACAGGTGCCCAACTTAAAGTTAAAGTTTGGACGAGGCAATATGTGCAAATGAAAAGCATGTGATGTCTTGTGAAGTGTCTTGTTTAGTAGCATTAACTGACCACTAGGTGTCCCCCAGTTAAATGACAATAATCCTGCTCCACTCCTGTATCATTGATGAGCAGCTCAATCCATGGCCCTGAAATACCATTCACTTCTTCCCTTCATCGCTGCAGTTTGCTTGATTTGCAGTTCGGTTCGACTGCTTTATCCATTGATGCATCATTTCAAACCGATGGGAGTGAATCGCTCTCCATCCTTCAATGCTGTTACCAAGATGTTCATGAAACGCTGCCATTTTTTGTAGAATGTACAGTTCGTCCACTATTGTATGCATTAGTGTGCAGTACACATTTCAAACTAAGATCCCATATAAGTGACTGTCTATGGATTCAGTGAACCAAAAAATTTAATTGAGGAATGTTAACCGTTTCCTCTCATTTTCATTTAAAGGGAAGTGATGAATTCTCCAAAGGCCAGAGAAACTCGACTGCTGGGTGTTTTTTTTTTTAACTTTTGAATATTAAAGGGCCAGTGTGTAGCATTTACGGAAATCCAATGGCAGAAATTGAATATAATATTAATAAGTACGTTTTCTCAAATGGATAATCACCTGACAATAGAAGTCGTTGTGTTTTCTTTACCTTAGAATGAGCCGTTTATATTTACATAGAGAGGGGGTCCTCTTCGTCGGCCACCGTAGTTTTCACACAAGCTTGGCACAATGTTTCAGTTGGTTGCCATCTACCACCTCACCACTAGATGGCGAAACAAATCCTACACACTGCACCTTTAAGTGATTGAAAAGCTTGTTAGGCCCTGAAAGTTCTGTTAGATTCACGTTCACGAAACAGTAACATAGACTTTGCTGATACATTGTTTGATAGTGATCATTGCACGCAGCAAAATCAGAAAGTATTTAGTTATATCTTTCTGAGCAGTTCATAATTCATAACCTCTGTCCCATCCCGAATGTGTCCTTTGCTTTCGCTAACAATGACTTGTTGTAAATTTCACTACTGTGGTGCAATTACTTGGTGTTGCTAAGGTGATTCTGCAACCATCCCATGTTAAAAAAAGATCCCCTCTAGACTTCAGAGAAATCAGATGGAGCATGCTGCACTTAATCATTGGTCTATGGCAAATAATTAAAATAATCTCTTCTTTGAACATTTGTTTTTGAGGTTGGAATGGAAAGCACACAAATCTAGTGCTGGACAGTCTCTTACGTTCCCCCTGTATCTGTTTATTAGACATTCAGATCATTGCTGCTGATGTGTGATGTATTATATATTCATATGTTTATTTGCAGTTTATCAGAAAAAAAACCTGCAAAACCAGGAGTAACATTATTCCTTTGTCTGTTGAGCAATCACTGACTTTAAAGGAGCACAAGGTGACAAACTAAGGACGCTTAAATGAACAGGACAGAACTGTGAGAAGGAGGATGTCTCCAAAGATAAGAGTCTGCAGCTCACACACACTCTGTCATTGCTGCATTCTTTGGAGCAAAGGCACATTTGCACGATGTTGATGGTGACATAATGAGAGGGAGATACGCAGAGAAGATCTGGCAACCTGCTACACCGTGAGCACTGGATTACTTTGTTAGAGATTCTGGGGGAATGTTTTGAGGACACATTTGGAGGGAGGGAGGAATGGAAGCAGAGAGACAGCATGCAGGGAGGATTGACTGGGGCGTGAGTCACAGCTTTATTTAGTTGTTTTTTAAAGAGAGGAAATCAGCTTTGTTTCCTGCATTGGTGACTTTAGGAGGGAGCTAATGGAACATGGCAGTGTTCAAAGTACTGCCCACGCTCTCATTACCGGTTGCTTTTATTTAGAAAACCCCTGGACTGAAGAGAGAAACACCAGCACCAATGAGAAACAGACTGTCCGTTTAAAATGAAAGACAAAATATGAAAGCTGTATCAAATGATTTTCATGGAATGTCATCATAATCATCATCAACCGCTACACACTGGGATAGTACAGTAATCATCACCATGGTTATGCAGGTAAGAATAGAAAGCAGGCCAGCTGCAGCTTCCCGCACACCAGCAGCTGGTATCCTCAGTGCTCAGATGTCAGTGGATGGTTAACTAACCTGGACACACAGTCCTGGTCCTGGTAGGATCAAAGAACTTTTACAATTTAGTGCTTCAGAGCAGATCGCTGTCCATGGGATCAACACCCCTCCGAATTGCCTCCTCTCCACTCTCTTTAGCGGGGTTGGAAAAAAAACGAATTTTTGTGCATTTTCTCTCCCATTTTGCAGCATTATTTGATGTATTATATTCGTTGTGCTCAATCAGCAATTATATGTATATTATCTGCTTTAACAAACCAGCTCCACTCAATCTTTTTTAATTTTTTGTACGGGTGCTTCTCTTTCACAGAAGTTGGTCGGAAATCCTAAACTTTTTATAGAGGATATACTCACTTTCCAGTTTATAAGGTACACCTAAATTAATCTAATGCAATAAATGCTGCCTTCATGAATTATATATATATATTTATATAGTTATAACGTTCTTTTGTTTTCAAAATAATAGGAACACCTGTCAGTGTAACGTAATACATTACAACACCACAAAAACTGTAGCCTCCAAAGTGACCAGACTGTACTTATAGCAGCAAATAAATCACAGAGATTCAGATTGAATGAAATTTACGTGATACCCACATTAAAAATATCAATGTATCTCATAATCAGATAAAAAAATAAAAAAAAAAATAAATAACTAGTGTTCAGTCTCAAAATATGCACATTTGTTTCTGAGAAGCAGAAAAACAGACAAACAGGGAGAAAACCCCCAGATAAAAACTCAAAATAACAAAAGTGTACGAAACAAAAAGAAGGCTAATGTTTGTGTGGTTGGTTCATTTTTTAGCTTAAAGGCTGCTTTTTAAGATATTCCAGTGACGATTGGGAGCCATCAGGTATCCGGACACAATTTTGGTTGTTTCATCAGGCTGCGAGGAATCTGCACTCATGTTGAGATGTGTGGTAATAATTCCCCTTTGATCATTGCACTAAATTGCTAAATGTAGGCCAGCATTAACAAAGGCAGATCAAAGAGAGGGAATGATGACACATTATCTGCATCAAGTGCAAGAACAGGGGGAAAAAAACCATCCATTCACTCAAAACCACAAATGTCAACCTGCTGGTGGCACTAGTGGCACAAGTCAGCGATCACCAAAGTTCATTCGGGCACCATGCATGTCTGTGTGAAATTGCATGGCAATCTGTCCGACAGTTACTTCACTTAAAGTTTGTAATAATAACAATGAATCTTGAGATATGATTTAATTTATTACATTTGCAGCTTCAACTGTGCACATTTAAGAACCCTGTGCCCTGAACAGTATAAAAACAGGTCCTTATAGTCTTCCCCCTAGCAGCTTAACAACACATGCAGCCTTGCATCAGAATCCAGCGGAGTCTACTACATGGCACGAACAAATGAAACAGGAAGTGAGAGTATGCCATCGAGTCACAGTAACCATAGTAACAAAGCAGCGACAGATACAGTACCGCTCGCCACCACCCTCCTGTTTCTAGGCACGCAAACAAGCACATGTAAACATGCACTCACCTTATTTTCTTTATCATTTCTTTCTTTCTCACAAATTGTGCTATTTCCTCTTATTCACACTGAGTGGGGTACAGGCTGTGTGTGGTTGAATGACAGTCGTGTCCTTTTCACACACACAGCGTTCACTGTGAGCTGCCCTTGCGGGAACTCAGTGTTTTCACGAAGGATGAGAAACATTTGTGAGAAAGAAAGAAATGAGAAAGAAAATAAGGTGAGTGCATG